TCTCACTCTTATCAGCCATACCCATAGTGTAGAGATTGAGTTTCAGGATGTAACATCACACATGCATGGGGGCTTTTTTTGTAAAATCATGCATGCATGTCACACTGCCTTCAGCGCCACATTCAGGATAATGGATTGAACTTTCTAATGCTTGGTTAGTCCAACTCCTTATCTATGCCTAAAGTGGTTAGAAAATAGTACGATTGGGTAAGTCGGGGCAAATCAAACATATTTCATGTTTGAAATTTTGATTTGAAATTTTGATAATCAAATATATTTTTAATACCTTGGTTGTTTCTAATTTATTTGAGCATTGGTAGTTTGACATGACTTTTCTTCTAACTGCAGGTCAGATTATGTGGAAACTGTGAAAACTGCACGTTGGCAGTACAGCACCCGGCCTGTTTATGGATGGGGTAATGTTGGGTCTCCACAGAAGTCGACTGCAGGGTGGCTTGCTGCTTTTCCTGTATTTGAACCCCACTGGCAAATATGCATGGCTGGAGGACTTTCAACAGGCATTAACTATTCTTGCTTCTGGTTATAATTGTTTTGGAACTTTCAATCTGATGCTGGTTATGATTCTTTTATTCTATTTTACAACAAGTTGTCTAATAAATCAATGATCTTTGTAAACTGTTCTTACTCATCATATATAACCAGCTCTTGTTTCTTACAGTTCTCTTTTCTCCCCACTTCTAAGTAAATACCTTACAAAAATTTAGAGGAGCCTTCGTTGTTAATTTCTAAGTGCTCTTGGTGCTATGAAGGTCACAAGTTTGTGAGAGCAGAATATCCATAGGCTTTAGAAATAATTATATTCTAGTTTTTTGGCTACTTTTGTTGTCACAGTGGCAAAGAGTGTTGTGATGGAGGTTCAATGCTTTCTAGGGAATAATGCTTTGGGTTTTGATTGGACACAGGATGGATAGAGTGGGATGGTGAAAGGTTTGAGTTCGAAGATGCTCCTTCTTATTCTGAAAAGAACTGGGGTGGAGCCTTCCCAAGAAAATGGTATTGGGTAAATATTTATTTCTTTCATGTGGTAAATATCTGTGTATTAATGGATTATATGTTTTTCTCACGTGGAATTTCATGCTTACATAACATTGTAAGGGTGGGTAAGTTACTTTCACTGTTGCTCTTTGCATGACTAATAATTGACTCTTTACCCTCTTTTCAACATACAAAGTTGACCTTACATCAATATTATTCACCCCAATTCACATTTTGATGTGTGGTGTGGGAATGTTGTGTTGTCATTACATGTTGTTTCAAAGTACAGAAATTGAAGAAAGCACATTAACTTTATCTCTGGCTAATTAGCCTGCTTTCTCATGGACTTAATTAGATGGCTCATTTTTTATGCGTTGTTGATTAGCGGAAATTTTTGGTGAATAAATCTCTGCTCTGTTTAAGTTTTTGAAGTTGTATGGAATTATCTCTGGGACGATGTTTTCTTAAAGCATCTTAGGTTTGCAATTGTCCACGCATGCCTAACCTGGAAGAAAAGAAAATTAAAAAAATTAAAAGAAAAGGTCTGAATGCCTGTATGCTAATTGTTGATGTTTTACATTTTACCATAGGTTCAATGTAATGTCTTTGAAGGTGCAAGTGGAGAAGTTGCTTTGACTGCAGCTGGTGGGTTGAGGCAAATACCTGGACCAAGTGAGACTTTTGAAAATGCTGCATTGGTAACTTTTCTATGACAATTCCAGTACTATTGTTCTCCACTTTCCCTTGTTCCAGCAATTCTTTTTAGATAGATAAGTTTATTCTGCTCTTTAGGAATATATATGGATGGCTAAATGCATGTAAAGAATGAGATAGTGAACCACTGATATGCAATTTTCATGGAACCTCAGCTACCCTCTATGTTTTCATATGGAACTTGAATATTATTCATGACCTTGAATATGCCTTGCTATCTTTGGTTTGAGATCCTGCAATAGAAGAAAAGCCAAAAACATATTCAAGTTTACAAGTTGGACGCACTTGTTTTGAATATACTGAGGCATTGACACACAATACAATGTCCACCTATGCAGGTTGGAGTACATTATCATGGGATTTTCTATGAATTTGTGCCATGGAATGGTGTTGTAAATTGGGAAATTTCTCCATGGGGTTACTGGTACATGGCTGCAGACAATGGGACACATTTGGTATCTTCTGTTTCCTGTTTCTAGTATTCACAGTCACACAGTATAAATTGACTTTTAACTCTGATGTCCCTGTAAGTTTGGTATTATTCTTCATTTAAACATGCGAAACATTAAAAAAGAAAAAGGAAGAACATGCTTGCCCACATGATTTTTCATGACCTCTTAAGTCTTCTATGGATACACATAATGATAAATTGGAGTTATACTATTAAGTAGAGGGCTAATTTATTGTCCTTTCTCAGGTTGAATTGGAGGCAACAACAAAGGATTTGGGAACAGCATTGCGTGCTCCAACAGCAGAAGCTGGGCTTTCTCCAGCTTGTAAAGATACCTGTTTTGCTTTTCTGAAATTGCAAATTTGGGAACGTCGAAATGATGGCACTAAGGGGAAGGTGCATTTTACATCTTGCTATCCCACATCCACATATTCATCAACTTCATGCACAAAAACACTAACTTAAACTATACTATTTAACCTCAGGATTTATTCTTAGCATTAAGTGGCCTAACTATTCAACAGAACATCAAAAACTTTGAACTTTTCTTGTTTGACAGTATTTATCTAGCAATGTAGTTTCTTTACATAAAACCAGGTTTTGCAACCAGAAGTTGCACTTCTTCTTCCAACATGTATTTTCAGTGACATTATCCCATGAAACCAGTGAAAGGAGGCCATCTGTGGACTTCATGAGTGATTTTTTCTTAAAAATCTAGAGTTGTCGTTGGAGAAATGAAGAATCTGCTTTTAGCATTTAAGAATTTGCTTCCTGGATGTTCTATTTTTGTTTGTCACACCTTGCATGTTATTGATGTGCTAAAATCCATATGGATTGATACAATTCCAATGAGAGCGTTTTCTCATAATTTTTCAAAATCCTTGGCATCCAATTTTTTAATGTAATTTGTCAAAGGGGCAAAGCGCTGATCCCTGGCATGCAATTGTTGTGATTGATATATGCTCTTAGATCTGCACTCTTGCAAGTTGGTTTTTGTTCTTGTTCAAGAAACAAATAAGACCAGTTAGTTTATTTGTTCATACTATGGCTTTGGATATTCCTACACTTTCAGCATTATTATATGCAGTTAATTTTGGACGTTACAAGCGACATGGCATTAGTGGAAGTTGGAGGAGGACCATGGTTTACCACTTGGAAAGGCAAGACATCTATGCCAGAGCTTGTCAGCCGCACTATTGGAGCCCCCATTGACATGGATGGAATTTTTAGTTTTGTTCCTCTGTTCAAGCCCCCTGGTTTATAACCACTAGGCCAGTTGTTTCATTACGAAAATGGATCAAACTTGGAAGTTTGAAGAGCCAGAGAAAGGAAGATGGCAGTTTGGTATGAAAGACGATCCATTGTGCCCCAAAACAGCAGACTAAATGTTTTCCTTGACGGGTAAGTTGTGTGATCAGTTCTTTTGTTTTAAATTTCACTCAAATAACATGTAGCTTGGGCAACTGCAGTTAAAAGGGAACTGGGTGCTTGCTTTAGTCTGACTTCATCCATTCTGAGGCATTTTGCATTAGCCACTCTTTTTTTAACCACATAGCTAGTGCAAAGCTAACATAGAATTTGTGTACCTACCTGCATCGCTTTTCATTCAGCACCTTCTGCAACTTTGTGGTCATTTATTGCATATTTTGTGGTTTGTTATCCTGAATTTTTCATTTGCAGCTATCAGAATGTAGCAGCGATTGCCTTTAAAACCGTAAGCTTACTAAATTAAAGAAGATGCATTCACTGAATTGTTTTCTTAGAAACAGGTGTTCTCTAATTCTTGAAAACACCAAATAGAGATGGAAACAAAACATAATATTCTGAAATTATACCCTTAAATTTCTCAAAAGTGTTCCTATTAACCAGATCTATTTACGATCTTATGTTATGTTTTATATCACTTATGATATGTTTCTCTTTTTGTCATATGCATACGAGATTCCTCGTCTTTCCATATTTGGCTCATACGGGAAAAGTCGGTCAAAAGCAAGTTTAACACAACAAAAACAATTTACTGAAGTATTTTATAAGATTATTATTAGCACGGGAACCATCATTAATTAATTTATATCATTTACTTTTTAGTTTTTAAATTAACTCAAGCAGACAATTGAATTGCATTTTCTTTTCATATACATTATTTCTCAAAAACAAATTACTGTACATGAAATGAGCTTCAGCAGCCAATAATCCCATGTTTATCCCAGTCCATATCTCTCAGATTAGGCACGGTTCATAATTTATGGACCCCATGTATTGAAGGATGTATAAAAAATCTAGCAATATATATTTGTTCAAAAGAAAAATTACAGGAGAAAATATACTCCAGTCATTCTGAAGTAATGGTAACCCTAAACCCATTCTCAAGAACAAAAAAAGAAAAAAAGAAAAAGAAAAAGAAGCCTAACACCATTCTCAAGAACGAAAAAAAAAAAAAAAGAAAAAAAAAAAAAAAAAAGAAGCCTAACACCATTCTCAAGAACGAAAAAAGAAAAAAAAGAAAAAAAAAAAAAAAAAAAAGAAAAAAAAAAAAAAAAAAAGAGGCCTACCCCCTTTCTCAAGAACAAAAAAAGAAAAAAAGAAAAAGAAAAAAAAGCCTAACCCCATCCTCAAGAACGAAAAAAGAAAAAAAAGAAAAAAAAAAAAAAAAAAAGAAAAAAAAAAAAAAAAAAAAGAGGCCTACCCCCTTTCTCAAGAACAAAAAAAGAAAAAAAGAAAAAGAAAAAGAAGCCTAACACCATTCTCAAGAACGAAAAAAGAAAAAAAAGAAAAAAAAAAAAAGATATGGTCACCCTAAACCTCATGGTAATCAATTTTGTTTTGCTTCTACTCCAGCAGGCGCCCCTTGTCCTCAGCAGGTACATAAACCCAAAAACATACAAGATAATACAGAAAATTAATTATACTCGAGACTGATCAGCCAGTAATAATCATCTAACCGACCCTTGTTAAGATTACTTGGCAACCAGCTCTCCTTCCCTCCTGTGGATGTAACCCTGTCCACAACATCCACCAAACCTCTCCCTATCAGATCAGCCACCGCGGTACCGAAAGTGAAAAAGAGCCACCGCAATGGTAGACATGCTTTTAGGGAACTGAGAGTAGTAGGATTCTATCTGTCCAATTGAATTAAAAGCTTCAGCCAATCCAAGTAGGATTATTGGTGGCAAAAGCCACACTACTGACATGTTCACCACACCGTCAGGTTCGTCTTCTAGTCATTCCTCAATAGCAGTTTTCCTTCTTATGGTTTCTACTACTGCTGTCATTGCCCTTGCTGCAACTGGCACTAGCAAACCAATTCCTGTCCTCGCTTTAGGACTAAGCCCGCCACGTGGCCTGCCGGTGAATCTTGCTAACAATGGCAACTGAATTCGGTCATAAAAGGTTAGCCAGATTGTGAGAGTGAGAACCAGAAACACATTGAGGGATCCTGCTGGAAGTTCAAAATTCAAGATGTTCCTGTCCATGGTGTTTGCTTGGAGCGTGGCAAATGAGTTTTGGTTCAAGTTGATATGCATCATGATGCCTGTAGTCCAAATGGGGATGACTCTAAGCAGAGCTTTCAGTGACTCTACCTGATCAACTGTGCATAGCCGCCATGGATTTGAAGCTGACCCATCAAGATTTACATCCCTATCGGGATCTATTATGATACAAGCTCGGTTCAGACACCTGCACAAAGTGCTGAGAAATGTTAAGGAGAGATGATTTGCATAGTCAAGCATCGAAGCAAAACTTCGAGTCATCATTGTGTTAACACTGGTGTACCTTAAATTATCAGTAGGGACCTGGAATGGAACTCAGAGTCATCACTGTGGTAATACCGTTCAATACTACTGTGAGATAGATTGAGCTTTCTGTTCCTGAACCACAACTTGAACAAAACCTGTAAATAAGCTCGAGGAGGCCTTCACTTTGACGTATTGGGAAGAACCCACCAGAAACATTAAAGCAGAGAGGAACATGAGAATTGCAGGAACGGCAAACCCAACTTTCCAACTGAGGTTATCTTGAATGTAGACAATAACAGTAAATGCTATAATTGTTGATAATCCTTTTGCAGCATAATACCAATTAAAGAAACTCTGCAAGACACTCTCATTGTTGGGGTTCTCTTCGTTGTGTAATTGGTCTGCGCTAAAGGCAATAGAGCAAGGCCTAATGCAACCAGCTCCAATGGATATAAGGCCGAAAGAGAAGAATAAGACAGCCATTCGGTCCGCTGTAGCTGAGCTGCACGTATCGGTGAATCGGTCACAAGGTGGAGGTTGTAGTTGTGGTATCATGGCGGTTAACCAAAGAAGAATCATCCCCTGCATGAACAGAGCAGATTAAGAGGTCAAGACTCAAAACCCCTATTCCCCCCAGAAAATTGGAAGCAAGGCCAACAAAGAAGAAACTCAGCCAATATGATAGCGGGAAATTACTCACAAGAAGGCTGCAGAATGATCCCAAAGAGATCACCAGATACCGTCCCATGAATGAATCGGAGAGGAAAGCTCCGAAGATGGACAACCCATTAGACATAGCGGACCATAAGAAGAGAATGGTCGACCCATTTTCAGTCTCCAAGCGATAGTTATTCATCAGGTAGAACATCATATTTGGCATCAGCCCATAGCTAGCCACCCTCTCAAACGCCATATTAACTATAGATGCACAGAACAGGAAAACAAATAACCCAACATGATTCAACAGAAAACAAAGAACAGAAGGAGGAAGAAACTTAACAGTAGACTCTGAAGATTACCTATGAAGAAGGGCATGGTCCTTAGGCCACCCTTTTTTCGGTCCTTGTCCTTAGCGATAAGAATCATCTTCTCCTCTGCAATCGTATTTTCCATTTCTTTCCTCTAGCAGCACAATACTATACAGGAGTCCATACATTTGAAAAGATAAAAAGAAAGAAAATTAATATAAGAAAAGCTAAAACATGAGGGATATAATAAAATTGTGGATTGCTCCACATTGTTTTATTTTTTATCTGTACACGTGAATTTTTTTTGAACTTTTCCTTTTTTTCTTCTATAATTTTTTTCTAAATATTTTTTATCGATTTTATTTTTTAATATTGAAATGATTGAGAGTTTAGCTTTATTATTTTTTTTATTTTTTTATATGAGATTAGCATAATTAGAAGATTTGTCGAGATAACCTAGGTTACTCTAATTTATGGATTTGGTGAGTTTTTTTTTAATTGAATTTGATTCTTTTATAATATTTTTTTTTCATATTGTTAAAAAAATAGTTTTAGAGAAAAACTTTATTATTAAACTTTATAAAGTAACAAAAATTAAAGGATATGGGGGGAGCCATTGTTTACCTAACATCCATTACATCATGGATTACAATGGTAATCCACAATATTTTTTTTTGAATTTTTATCATGATTTTTTTTCAAATTAATTTTTGTCGATTTTATTTTTTAAAATTGATATTGTTGAGAATTTAGCTTCATGGTTTACAGATTTATTAAATTAATCTAGGTTGCCTTGGTTTATGAGTTTGGTAAGTTGTTTTTTTAATTAAACTTGAAATTTTTTATAGTCTTTTTTTAATCATATAGTTAAAAAAAATAATTTTAGAAAAAAATCATGCTATTAAATTTTATAAAATAACAAAAATTAAAGAATATGAAGAAACTATTATTTAGCCACACACATTGCAATATAAGTAACAATAGTAATTCATAGTGTTTTGCTTTTTTTTTTGTTCCTTTTCTTTTTTTTATTATGATTTTTTATTATAATTTTTTATATTTTTTCTATTATGATTTTTTATATTTTTTATTATAATTTTTTATATTTTTTCTGTCAATTTTATTTTTTAATATTAGAATAGTTGAGAATTTGACTCTTTATATATATATATATATATATA